CATATTTAATATTATTTTATAGTTTTTGCCTGCCTATTTTCAGAAAAAGTAAATATTTAGCAGTAAACTACTATCAGTAATAACATTTTTATTGTTTGTACCTATGTTGAAATAATCCATTTCTTTTTATACATTTATAAAATATGTGGAACTGGCAAAGTAGACGTATCCAATACATTAGTCAAACTGTAAATTTTAACACAAAATTACCAGTCAACTTGAAACCTGTCATAACCAAAAAGAAATCCTGGATTGAATGTTTATTTTCTAGAATTAGAATTCTTAATAATGATGGGCAAATTAAATGTATTTTTATTTATTGTAGATTTACTATATTTTTTTATTATGTTATGTATTTTGTGTATATTAATTTAATCCTAAAAAATAAAATTTTAAAATGAATTTGGTGTTTTATTTATGACCTACAAATCTGTAAATTACAAATGTGAAAGCAAATATATTAAGTTAAATAAGTGTAATTTATACATAGTATCAATTATTTAATATTCTAAATTTCGACTATTACACAACCTATAAAAGCTAATTATCATGTCATAATTATTTAATTTTCTCAACAATCTAGAAATTCCAATATTGTACAAATAGAAAGTTGTTCTTAAATAAAAAACAAATTCTAGCATTAGTTTATTAGCAAAGAAATATAGCACCCAAATTGAAGGGATTCAAAAAGGAACTGTATATGTTTTTCAAGAATAGGTCAAATGTGAATTTATTTCTCATACCAGAGATTTTACCATCTCTCCTCCAGTTTTCCATTTCTAACTAAAAAATAGATACTGAACTTTAGAAATTTCCCAATTTAAACAGTTTTTTACTTTGATTCATTGAAAAATGTATAAGTTACAAAATTAATTTAAAAAAACTGACGACTACAAAAAACGAAGAGTGATTATTTTCTCATGAATCCCATCATCAGATCTTTACCAAATTTATATTATGGAACCATCTCTGAAGAGCCCCCTTTCTAACAAAAAAATAATCAGAAATCGGACAACATAGTAAAGAATTGTCGCTAAATATCCATAAAAAAATATATTCCGATGAATTGAGAACCTACTTCTTTTTTGAAGTCTGTTAAAAATAGAAAATACATTAGAAATATTTCCACAGTAAATGGGGTTTGCACACATGATAAAAACTAAACATATTTTTAATTATGTACTTCTATTTGAAAAATAATGTACAGTAGAAAGAAATGTACTTTTCCATGGTGTGACAAAAGTTTTAGTTTATATAAAAGGGACAAACTATATTTAAGTACTGTTGCTTTAAACCACAAATCACAGATTTTTAATTGAGCACTACTAGAAGGGTAGTTAAATGAGTATTCTCCTCTTTTTCCAGTGACTTATTGGAACCTTTTCTTCATGTGTAAAACATTTTTTCTCTGAACCAACTGTCCTTGCTTCTGTCTATTAAAAATATGAGCCGATGTCGAAAAAAGATAGGGATAGTGTTAACATAGCCGTAAAGGTTGAGCCTCAATTTCATTTTTTACTTTATTTGTAATTAATTTTCGAAAAAATATTACCAAATTAACTTCATTAATATAAAAATCTCCCGTGATCAGCTGTGAAGCGACAGACTGTCAGTTGGAAAAGCGCCGTTGCCAGTTTTAATCTCAGTTAGTTATTTGTTCTTTAGCTAACGAGAGATTTTAACAATCGTTCTTGCAACCCGCTGTTTTTAAGAAATAATGCATTGAAAGTGGTTTCATAAGTTATTTCTCTTTTATGTTTACAAATACATATTTTTATTGCAATTTTAGATTCAGCCGTTACCAAAACCAGAGACAAGGACATGACGAACTTATAAAAAGATGGTTTGTTTCCATAATTTCTAATACCCTTACGAAAGAATTCACATAATATGATGGCATGAAAGTAAAATGGTAATTTAAAGAAACAATGAGCAGTTTTTTGTTTATATGTAAGTATAGGGGTAAAGTACATTAGTCAATGCATATTTTCATATTAGCTAATAATATTTTATCTAAAAATTTTACATTTTTAACTATCACTTTTGCCTGATCAGGCGTTTATTAAAAGATTGATTTAAGACTTAATATCCGTATAAAATGTAATGTCTTTTTTTAGCTGCTGCTGAGAGTGACAATGGTGCTGCTTAAAAAGTAAGCGAAATAGCCTTAAGAAAATGGCTGAGAAGGTCAACAGAAAGGAGTGCGTATAAAACTAATACATGTTTGATATTATTTATACCAATAAAAATAAGTCAATAGTTGCAATTATTTTATTTCATATTTATATAGGTGGTGATGTCCGTCAAATGTCCATAAATTGTCCAAAAGCAATACAAAAAGAATCCATATATGGACCTTTCATGGAGTCCAAATGGACGTCCAGGAGTGGGACATTTGTATAGTCCAGTGAATGTCCATTGGATGTCCTTTGGTAAAATGCTGGACGTCCTTTGGACAGCCGATATGTCCATTAATGGACTTCCGATGGACATCCAATGGATTGAATTGTGCTGTCTGGGTTAAAAGGTGAGTCGCATTCAACTGGCAAACCAACTTATTGGCCCACAGACAAAACCAAAATAGTTAACCTAATACACTTTTTACTACATCTAAGTTGATGAGGCATGGGACATGAATTCAGATCATTCTCCCATTCTTCTCACTCTTAGCGACACTATTATCCAAAAGGAAAGCGCTCCTAGACTAATAAATAGGAGAATAGACTGACAAAGCTTCATACTAGACCTTGAAAATAAAATCAATCTTTCAGTTCCGTTAAAAACAAAAGCACAGCTAGATGAAGAAGTAGAACTACTTGTGTCCAACATACAACAAGCAGCATGGGATGATACGCCACCTATTGTGCAGCGAACAACAGAAAATAACTATCTTAAAGAAATAATCTCTGCAATAAGAAAACTAAGGAGGAAATAGCATCAGATCAGAGCTCCATCAGATAAAACTAAACTTAACAACGCCATCCAGCAGTTAAAAAGAGAGATAAAACGAATCAAAAATTAATCTATTTGTGAGTACCTTAGTGAGTTGATAAACGATATATCCACAGATTATTCTCTATGGAAAGCCACAAAGCGATTAAAAAGGCCCACGGTTCAAAATGCTCCAATCAGAAATACAGATGGCAGCTGGGCTAGAAATAATATACAAAAAGATAATATATTCGCAGAGCACTTACAAAATATCTTCCAACCATGAAGGAGAAGAATTACCGAACTGGGCTCCTCTAGAGAGAGATGACTTAATTATTAGACCAACCTCTCCAAAGGAAATTGCAGAAGATATAAAAACAAATAGCTCCTTGCTTTACTTTACAGGATAAATCTTAAAACAACTTCCGAAGAAATGTTAATTAAACTTACAGACCTGTTTAATGCCTCATTCAAACTAAGGTATGTCCCTAGGTTGTGGAAAGTAGCTGAAGTCATTATGATCCCCAAACCAGAAAAACCTCCTAACGAAGTTTCGTCATATAGGCTAATATCTCTATTGCCTATAATATCGAAACTATTTGAAAACCTACTAATAAAAAGACTGAAACCCATCATTAAAGAAAGAAAACTAATTCCTGATTACCAGTTCGGCTTTAGAGAAAACCATTTAATTATATATCAGGTTCATAGAATCTCAAATGCGATTGAAAGAGCATTAGAAAACAAAGAAGTCTGTTCAGCCATCTTCCTCGACGTTGCGCAGGCTTTTGATAAAATATGGCTTAAAACATAACTAAATGTGCTACTTCTACAGCCATACTCAGAGCTATTGGATACATACATTTCAGATAGATTCTTTAGAAGGGAAGCGTCCTGAGACCCACTTTGTAACTGTTATTCACTTGTGACATACCCCAACTAAAACAAGACAGAATAGCCACATTTTCAGATGATAATGCCATCCTAGCGATGGGCAAAGATCAAACTACAAACATCAGTTAGTCAAATAAATAATTGGGCCAAAAGATGGCGTATTAAACGAAACGAAACCAAATCTGTTATTATTAATTTTATTAACAAAAATAGTCAAAGAATACTAATTAACATAATGCTCAGGTCCCTTATGGTAACTCGGCAAAATTACCTAGGTATTACATTAGATGCAAGACTTCGCTGGAAGGTCCATGTTAAAAAGAAAAGACAAGAGTAAGATATAAAATTCAAGAAATGCACTGGTTCCTTGGTAGCATTCCAGCCTAACTACATATAACAAAATTCTATTATATAAACAAGTTCTCAAACCAATTTGGACCTATGGTATTCAGCTCTGGGGTTGTGCCAGCTACAGTAATATTCTAATAATCCAGAGATTCCAGAACAAAGTATTGAGGAACATTGTCGATACTCCTTGGTACATTAGAAACAGCGACCTTCATCGAGACCTTCAGATGGACACTGTTGACCAGACTATCACCAGATTCGCTAGGAGTCACGAACAACGGCTCCACCAACATGTGAACTCGAGGCGATTTAGTGTTACACGTTAGTTTGGTGTAATTAAGTTATAAGACCCTGAGGTATACTAGCGAGTAGAACTTTAATTTTTAAGATTGCAACCCTAGTTAAGTTAGGTTATAACAAAATTACTCATTGGTCATTTCTTGATCAGATTGTAATATTAATAAACGCCCCTTATGAAGTGTTCTTTCACAAAAAGTAAAACTCAGAAATATTTTAAAAAATAACGAATGTTGAGAATAAGGTGTAGATTGAACGAAAATTATTAAGATTTTATTCCGTTAGATAGATTTTTTACACAAAAAAAGCTTTACTTTACTAATACTAAATTCTAAATAAATCAACACTATTGCGCAAATACGGCTTGCACTTGGCCAAATTATTTTAATATATTTATATATTCATTGCATTCATAGGAAAAATATAATACATAACTAATTTGCCGCACTGCATGCTCTTTACTACGATTGATGTGTAATATACTAGAATATAATTGTGTTTAAAAAGTATTAGTTTTAATAAATACTTACTATCAGGATCAGAATCATTGTCTGTGCCAAGAATTTCACCAGTTGGCCTAATTGTCAAATTATATCCTTGGCACCACAGTCGTACGTGATTCGAGAATGGACGTTCATTTTGACTCATATTCTGTCAATAAATAAAATAACTAATTATATTAAATGTAACTTAAATTCACTTAATAAAACTGTATGAAAATGATACCTAACACATCTGTTAGTCTAGGTTTAAATTAATAATAATAATTCACATGGAGGAATAGTTGGTCTAAAATTATACGAAAATATGAATTGAACGTGTCCGTTTTTAAAATAATATTTTTTTTTCTAAAATTAAACATTTCTGCTCTATAATTACGAAACTCAATCCAAAAATATAACACTATTAAGATATTTTAATAGAAATTTTAATCATATTATATGATTTTCTGGTTGATAAATTCGAGGTATTTTTTGTTATTGCAACAAATTAGTAAAAACAAAAATGTCGATCACATTAAAAAAATACAATTATAAAAATTGAGACAAATTTACACCTTTATGTCATCAATAAAAAATAAAATAAAATAAAAAAACATACTTTTTATATAGTATCTTTGTCTACTATTCGTATAATAAACGACAACGATATTTATGATCTGTCTTTTAATCAATAACGTATGTTGTTGAAGTATTAGCTCGGAGATTGATTACACATTATTCAGTACTAGCGACGAAAAACTACTAGACCAATCCATTCGTAATTACCTAAGCCCTTATTCATTGCAAGCATTCAGATTGTGTTTTATATTGAGCAGATAGAGCTGTTGTGTCAGCTGTCACATTAGAAAGAGCGAGACGGCTGCTAAATTAAGTAGGAATGATGTATGCGAGTTTGATTTATGTGAGGTGCGAACAAGTGTTTTATGAATTATGTCGTACTATCACAGTTTATAGCTAAAGAATCAGTTCGCTCACTCTGCGTCGGCACTTTTGATCTCAATGTTCCAGTTTATACATTGCGCAACTCGGATTTGTATCCCTGGCGCATACGGAATCAAATCATAATAGCCCAAGAGCCCACTGTAAATTTTTACTGCTATCTGATAATGAAATAAAATATACCCCAAAAGCTTGTAAAAACATTATACTTTACCGAATGGCACCTGTGACAATCCCAATCCTGAACAACGTGTTTAAAAAAAAATATTTTATATTAAAAAAATCACATAAGGCATGACAGCGCTAATTTTGTTTGCCCTTAAAGTTTTCCAGATAATAACATATTCAAATATATCTTGATATATATCGTTAACGGGAAATATTTTCTTAACATCGCACAAAAACATCTGCACACGATTAGTAGGTAAAAATCATTAAAAATATGAATCAATTTTAGCTGATTTAAGAATTTATTTGTATGCCTATTGTTGTGATTCATTTTTACAGGTTGTCATAGAAACGACAAAAAAACTACTATGATTATAGTTTAAAAGAATTGTCTAACAAGAGTTTATAATTATTATTGACTATCTCTGCCAAAGTTAGGTAAAAATATTAATAATTCAGGTTTAAAAGCTAGGTTCACAATGAATTAGGATTGTAATTTTCAGAGAAAACACAATTATCGCTGTCATGTCCTATGTAATTTTTTGAATATAAAATAATTTTTTTTAACCACTTTGCTCTGGATTACAGATTGGCACAGCAGCAATTTGGTAAAGTACAATATTGATACATATCTTTGGAGCATATTTCATTTTGTTATCAGATGGCGGTCGTAATTTGCAGTGGGCTCTCTTACTATTACCAATTAAGCATTCCAACGACCTGTCAAACAATGTCAGTGAGAAGGTCAGGTATATCTAAGGGGTTAGAGCATTGATCTGGCAACCTAGGGATACGACATGCGTAATCGAAAAGTGGCACCGGTCCGCTATTACTGTGAGTGCAAATTGTCAAATTTTATAGGTTATATTTTAGTGTCATTTGTGTTAATAAATTTGAATTTAATTTGTATTTGAGCAAATTTTGAGTGTTACAAACTTATAAAGTTTATAATGCCTTGTTGTGTTATATGTTCCTGGTCTAGCGATAGTCGTTTTTGTAAAAAAATCGACTGGAATAACGTTTCTTAGGTTAGTATCAAAATTATAAATATTATACAGGACAGTATTATGACATGTTTGTATAAAATGTGTAAAAGTATGCTTTTAAAAATCCAAAAAAATATCATCTATCAACTTTTGGGCCTACCTATATTGGAATAATACTTTTTCATATGAAATAATATTTATAGATTTCCAGAAAATCCTGAACAACGTAGCGCGTTGATATTTTGTCAACAGGCATAATTGGGAACCTTCTAAATTCAGTTGTATATGTTCCAAGCATTTTCTTGAAAAGTACATTAATTGTACGCCATGTCGTTTATCAAATTTATAGGCATTTTATTTTCTTATTTCTATTTAAATATGACCTACATTTGCTGCTTCCACCAGTTTTATTTATATTAGTTCTACAGCTGATTGAAAAGTAGAGCTTCATGTTTTGTGTATGCATGAGTATTGTTTGTTTTATTATAGTTAATTTAGAACAATATTAATAGATCTTTTTAATTGCCTATAATGTGTTTCAGATATCACTCATAGATATGGATAAGAAAATATTAAAACTTTATTCTTTGTACACTTTTATTTAATCACAGCACACATTATTTGCATTTACAATATTTGCTTGACTTTTATATGCCCCATTCTGTTTTGTTCACCTTTTCTAGTAGCTTTTTCTGTTAAACTTTGGTCACTATTCTACCTCCAGGTAATGAATTATTCAACCATTTAATCAACAATGAGGTTTTACTTATTTTACAATAAGTTACTTATCTTTAATATTCAAGTTTTAGAATTTGAACTTGGCTTAGGCCATTTTCATCAATTTTGTTCTTAGAGCTTTTGAAAAACACTTGGGAAGTACTCTCACAAATTTATTTCTTATTTTACCTTAGTTGTTAAGAAAAGCGCCTACAGCAGATGATACTTTTCCTAACTCGACAAACATTTATTACCTAGATGTTGGCCTCCCTTTATCACCAGCCTACAATTTCAACTCTTACTTTTAACTTCATCTGTGACTTTAACTGTGATTGAGACTTTAACTTTATCTTCACATTCTTTGTCTGACTTTCAATCATACATGCATGATTATTGTGCATAGACCAATTAAATTGGACAGACACTCTTGTGGTGATGTTGTTACTATGGTAGGCCTTTATATAAGTAGTCATAATCTCTGCAGATGGTGAGAAGCCCAGCTCAAACCAACCACCATATTATCCTCACTGGATCTATAAGTCTCAAGTAAGATCACTTCATATTTTACATTTGTTAGAAGTACACCTGTACCTACCTGCACACCGCTGGTTGTGGCTTCGCTGATTTACTGAATGTCTTGCATGAAGATACACATCTTTCAGTCTGAATTTACAAGAGTACCAAGACCAAGTAAAATTAATCCACATTTTGATTTCCTGAATAGTGCATCTACCTACACAGAGATTGTTTATTAGCCATTTTCCTCGAGCCTTGCATTAAGTTTCGTATCGGATTATCGAACTTTTAGTGTATGAACATTTGTTCTTAATTTCGAGGAAGCTGTTAATTAAAGTAATGTTAGATTACTTGACATTTGCGACCTTGTACTTTCCGATTTAAAGATAGAAACAGAAAGCATTGGGCTACGTATAGAGTAAGTGTTCTGTGCTACGTATGTGCCCTAGTGAAAAAGTGTTACGACTGATCCAATAAATCGAATTCGCTTTATTTTTGTCGCTTATGTGAACCAAAAATATGCTATTTATTTTTTCTGTGAATAATTTGAACGCTTTAGGATTATTTCCACCATTGTGTTAAAGTTTAAACAAACTAATTGAAGATTAAAATGGTGGAATCGGCCCCAAGTTAGTTATATCATGATCATTGATTAGTTGCAATTTTGCAAATAATATATTCTCCAGCACTTAATAGTCACACTTGAGTGATAATTAAATCAGTTATATTTAATTTCTTTCATTTACTTTATTCAGCACCTCTCGGCTGAAAACCGGGTATATTTAAATCTTTAGACCCCTTCTTTTGTAACCTTGGCCTTCCACCACCTTTTAAGTCAATGTGTAAGTTTTTATCTATAATAAAGGAAATTCATTTTTTATAGTTCAAATAATGATACTTAACCAGAAATAGTACAATAAAAACTTGTAAATCCGGTTCTGCTCTTCCGCTATTTTAGTGAGTGCAAAAGCCACGCCTACCGGTCCCAATTTTGTATATCAAAAATAATTACATATGACGTATCCTTACGTTGCCAGATCAATGGGTTAGAGACATAGTCTTGCATCTTGAACGTTTTTTTTTTTATTTTAAATAATAGTCACAAAGCCTGCCAATTTATGAAAAAATTTTCTTATTTTTATTGTGTTTGACATAAAATATTTAAATGTAATCCATTATTCATGATTTTACGTATTGTAAACAGAAAACATTGTATGTCGCAACCCTTGGATATTTCAAATATTCCCACTGACAGTTCATTTGTTTGGAATGCCTAATACAATATATGACAACCGCCTATATTCGAACAGTAGTCTTCTGCGCATCCTGAACCGATAATACCGATCAAGGAGAAGCGACAGCTTGGTGTTTTCAGTGTACCGTTTTGTAACGCGCATGTGCGAAAATAAGTTGTGTATCACTCAAAATTATGTTATCTGTCAAAGTCAGTCCAAGTTGTGTTTAGTACATGAGCAATGTTAAGTGATATTTTTTGGTGTTTGTTTTGTGTAGTAATAAGATGAAGATTTTTACACACTTAGGTATTCTAATACAGATATAAAATGTGCCCAAAAAGTTAATAGGAAACTAAGAATTTTATCACATGCATAAATATTAAGTATAATGATTTAATCATTTTTAACATTTTATTTTTCATATGTAGGTATTGTATTTTGTGAAATATATGTTTTTCTTCTTTTCAATAAATTTAATAAACAATGAACTGCAGATTTTGTTTATTTCATTTTGAAATTATATTTAAAAAAATATAATAAATTCGCGTGTTTCAATTAGGATTGGTCAAAGTGGACGAAATTCCTTTATTATGGCTAAATTGTAAG